TGATTTTCTCATAGTGGCCGCCTTAAATGGTCCCCCCCCCCCCCCCAATCTCTATATGCAAACTATTTTTATTTTCTTCTTGCATCTCATCCTAGGTTGCATTAAGAATCTAGATACTCATTTATCATATGGTGAAACTAAAGCATATTAAGGGAACCACTTCAGAACCTTCTAAGAAAACTTTCATTAATAAAATGCGCCAATACGAAAGATGATTCTCAATAAGATGAAAAACAAATTGAGTTAACATTAAAGAAGTATGTCCGCTTTCAATGAAAAAGTTAAATGCATCGAAATTTACTGTTCATGCCATAGAAAAAAAAAAAGTCAACTGAGCCCAACTAAATTTGGCTCACCTCTTCAAATTTCTCAAAGTTCTGAGTATCCAACTCATCATTAACCTCCGGCTTAAAAGCAGCTTCCATCAGATAAAGCCGGTCCCAGTTAATATCCTTAAACCAAGCGTGTGCCTGATTTTATTAACAAGCTAATAGTGACATTCAACTGGAAAACAGACGCAACAATAAAACAGGATGTAATATTTATCAGGAAAGACCTTTATTTCATGGGCTCCTCTGGTTCCGAGCCTCTTCTCCACATTACATAGCAACTTGGTAATTAGATCTTTAGCTTGAGGGGATAGTTTTGCCTCCACCGGAAATTTTAAGTGAGTTTTCCAATTAACTATCTGTGATGTTTAAGACAAGCAGACTGAACTTAAAAGAAGCATGATATTTCTTTAGAAGCAGTTGTTTTAATATGGATCTGAGTTAGATGCCAATAGGTATCAAAGACTCAAATCATACATCAAAAAGCAAGATCACTTAGGTTAATGAAAACAAAGAAGCTAAATGACAACAACAGTTAGTTCTGAAATGCCAAATTGACAAACCAACAAGTCTGAAATTTGAAATTTTACAAATGAGTACAGTTAGAAAAATATGAAGCGAATTCACACAACTTTGTATACACCTGCTAAAAACTTAACAATATAATCGAAAAATAAAATTAAAATACAACCTTTCTGCAGGTTGACATTGGTTCTTCAGAATAAAAGGGAGGGTAGCCCACAAGCATTTCATACATGATTGCTCCGAGTGACCACCTGATGAAATTGCAATCATGATTTTTCCAGCTCCAGGGAAAAGGTATTGATAAAATTTTCTAAAGCATCATTTAACAAGAACCTACCAATCACACTCCATACCATATCCTTTCTTCAAAAGCACTTCTGGAGCAATGTAATCAGGAGTTCCAACAGTTGAGTACGCCTGCAAGCAAAAAGTGGTTAACAGAAAAGTAAGCTCCATAAGTAGGAAATTATAGCAATTAGCCAAAGGTCCATCATAATAAATCAAAAATATGTCAAATCCAGTAAAATATGGGCAGATCCAACATGACCGATGCCAGTGGAAAAACCCCCGTTGACTCAAAAAAAAAAAAAACAGCAATGCCGAGATAACACCGTTCTGGCATCTAAGTGTATCTGAATCGAAATAAATGTTGGGAAAGTTTGAAGATTAGGAAGAAGGAAATATCAGAGAAGTGACAAGGATTGGGTGAGGAAAAACTATTATGACTGCTGTCCAGCAAGGAAAATAGTAAGGAAACACTAATCGACGATACTTACAGCATGGTATAGATGATGAGGATACACCACATATTCTCGTCAAGATAAAACTTCACCACTTGAAGAAAAAATATTACAGCTCTCCAAATAAAAGAAAACAGAGAAAAGAATCTCCAAATAAAATGAAACAAAATTTAAACAAAAAATTCCAAAACCGAGCTCTAAATAATATATTTATATTACCAACGCAAAAGCAAACCTAACTCTAATTAAAAAATATATATAGAAAGATAGCAACCTCAAGGCTCCCTGTGAGGGTAGGAGAGGCTTTGTCTTCTCCTATGGAGGCTTCTGCATCCTCACTTGATATCTCTCTAGGGCTCCTAAAAGGAGTTTAGAGGAAATGTTTATCGGGAGGTGGTTGTGAGTAGCAAGGGAAAGAAAATATGCAAGATTAACGATATTTAGAAGGGGTATGAGGTGAAATCTGTGGTTCGACAGCAAATTCAGTGCCAATAGGCAGACACCCCAGCTGAAAACAGTGAGGCATGGTACAAAGGTCAAGAAGGTTCACCACCTGTTTCTGAACAAACTACAGACACGCTAGTTGCAAAAGCAAAAAATATACAGCATTCATTAGGGTAGAAATCGAAATACAATCTCCAAAACACAAACAAAAGCCAAAAGTCTCTCAAAAACAGAAAAACAAACACGTAAATATTTTCATAATAGAAAATACCCTAATTATAAATAAATAAATAGGAAAAAAATCAAAAAATAAAAGAAAAGAGAAAAAAATATGTAAAAATTATCTCTTGTTCCCCTGCCCCATCACGATCATGGCTTCCCGTGATCACATAGAAACATGGGATTCCATAGACCGCGGAACCGACGCTCT